CCTTTCTCTACTCAGATTCTGCCTATGTGAAATACCTTAATCCAGACCTTCCAGATATGGAGACAGCCTTATCAAAGATATTCTCATGCAGTGATGAGAAGGGATAAAATACTTTGATTTAATCTTACTGACTTGTAATAAATGAAGAAGTAAATAAATAAATACAGAAATCATATCTTCCTGATCTTACAGTTTACTTACCAAACCTTTAGGGACCAAGAACATGCCTAAGACATAACCCAGAAAGTGCTTAAATCACTGTACACATAGAAGCTGACAAAATGTCCCTTGAGTCCTGGTTAACTGTCAGAGACAAAGAAAACTCTTCTTCCACCAAAGTCCTAAGGCACCTTGTGAAGATAGTCCCAGCAATACCCACTTGCTCCAGCCCTCTTACAGTGGGGATTTTTAACTGTGCACAAAGGCTTGTGCAAACAGCGTTTTTTCCTGGGGTGCACACATATGATGGTCACCACAGTGGAGTTTCTTAAATGTCCATAAATCACAAGTGGCCACTGCTGTGCTGATTACACTGTTTTTCACACAGCTTAGACATACACAGAAAGAGGCCAATTTCCTTTCAGTGTAGGAGGGCTGTGGAACTATTGCATGTTTTAAAGGGTTGTGTGTAAGTACAGACCTCTTTTCAAACACTACAAATGTAATGTTGAGACAAAGAAAATAGATCTAATGGGGTCATAGGGGACCCAAGCTGTGACCTTCTCAGTGACTGAAGATGAAGAGCTTAGACTGGACTAAGTCACTGATTATAGGGCTTATTGTAGCATTATCTTAGGCTGCAACAGAAAAGGAAAATACAGCTGCTTAATTGTACTTCAGTTTGAGGGAAAGTGAAGACCTCATTTAACTACCTGTACTTGCTATTGACAAATTTCAGAAGAGGTCTGACAGGGAGAAAAATAAGGGTTTATTTAAATACAGCTCCTCAGCATAGTGTCCAACTGCTTTTAGATTGTTCTAAACAAGAGATCTAGGAATGAGCATTTTTTTCATAACTCATTTGAATTCCAAAAGGTTAATTTGCATTCTATTATCATAATTGACAAGTTAATTTCTTGCAGATGTTTTAAAGAAAATGTGGAAATAGTAACAGAAAAAAAGTTTAAAAATCAGCTCCTAAGCAATATAATTTTCAAACTTTCTGAAGAAGGCAACAATCATAAAATTCCTTGTCTTTTAACAGTCTTCTTTTCTTATTGTCTTCAAGAAACTACTATAGTTCTGTCAAAGAAAAAGCAAGAAACTTTTTGAGGAACCAAAATAAATACTAAAACTATGATGAAAAGTATATTTTGAGTTGAATTTTCAAAAGATGTCTCTCTCTGAAGCTGCTCTATCTGCTGCCATGGTTCTAATATTGCTCATAATGTTGCTAGTATGGCAGAAAATGTTCAGGATGAGGAGTTACAACTAGTTTATCCTATACTAAGAATTCTTTAAAATTCCCAAACGAGAACACACATAGAAAAAAGTTCTTATCCACTTGTGGTCTCAGAAGGATTGGTCAGAGCACAACTTAAGATCATTCTTCTCTTGAAATCTACACCCAAATGACAAAGACAAGGAAATACTGCGGTTCATCCAACACAGAAAATCCACTTTACTCAGATTCTCATGCAACTCCTTGCACACCACTCTTGCTGCAGAATCAGCTCAATGCATGATTGCAATTTCCATGAAATTGCATGTGGACTGCTGGGGTTGCTTTAGTTATAGCATCATTCCTTTAATTAACAATTACTAAGCAAAGGTGCTATGTGAATTCTTTATCAAAGCTGCTTGTTTAGAATGAACAGTCTAATTTAATGATAAAAACTAAATCAGCTTTGAAATAAGTTTAAATCAAATTTAAAATACTGAAAAATATGACACTTGAGGAATAGATGCATGACCAAATCCAGAACAAATTGAGAATAAATTATTGTATTCATACACCCATGTTCCTCATAGTAATTTTTCATCATAATGTTTTATGAACTATTAAAATTTCAATAAGAATTCCGTGAGCTCAGAATTACCCTTGAGGCTTGGAAGTGCTTGTTTGGTCTTGTAGTTAGGCCTACAAAGCAAGGCTGCTCTAAATAGCAGACTAAAGGCAGATGGGGGTTCCCCTCTGATACCCCAAAGCCCTAACAGGACACTGAAATATGGCCCTGTGATAACTAGGCATTGCTAGCTACTTGTCTCCCACTGACCCATGTTCCTGGCATTATACCAGCCCAAAAAAATCAATGATTTTCCATATTGGACATATTGGAATGTATCCATACTATCTTTTCAGGGATATTATTCCCAAAGTTCTTATGTCTTAAAATATTTTTAAAAACTTTCTCTGGACAAAAATAAAGTTGAATAAGCTTAACAGCTTCAGAAGTTCAATTTTTCCTCTGAAAATAAACCCAAACCCCATGCAAAAGACATTTAGCTAAAATGGCTGATTTGCCAAATTCGGGGCCTGCTCTTTGCAGTTCTGTTGAAAAACCAAGATTATTTCTTAGGATAAATTTAGCTTTTATATAAGAAACTCTTACGTTATTTTAATACCTATTTGTTTCTGTTTCCCAGTGGTACAGAAACACATGGAAATGAAAAATATAATGGGCAGTCAGTGAAATTTATTCCTATTCAGAAAATGTATCGGGGAAGCTTCCAGTCAAATTATACAGAGGGATGCATGTACGATGTATACTGGGAATTCTTTTAGCTTCTACAATTTCTCTTTATCTATTTATTTGTGATTCAGCTACTTCTCTGATAATTGACCTGCAATCTCTTTCTGCCTGTGTTAATCATACCTATTACAGATTTGAAGCACCCCTTCAAAATGTATTCACAATTTATCATTCAGGACAAAGACAATGAAATGAATGTCTTAGCTTTACTTCTTTAATTTAAATACCTTGAAATATCCTCTTGTTATACCCAGTTATCACTATAGAAAAGTGGAAAAAAATCAGCTCTTATCCTTCCAGGTTAAAACAATTTCCCCCCTATATTCAGACATGTTTTACAACTTGGAATGACTTTATTTGAATAACCTTCCTGAAAACGTTTCAAGAAACTGTGTGAGTCTTTTCTATATGCTAAAAAACAAAACCAAACACACTTACATACTCCCAAGCCTCACCAAAAAGTCAAGTCAAGGAAGCATTTAGCAGGAGCTTCCGTATTAAATTCAAAGTTTCATACTATGAGGAGCAGCAATCAACGCAAGCCAGCTAAGGAACATTCTTCCTTTTCTTTGTTAGTGAAACTGAAGCTGCCTTCTCCTAACATGCCAAATCGCTTTGTTGTCATTATGCAGTTATCACTTTCAGAAAATAACTTCTTAAAGCATATAATAGCAGTAATATTATTTGAAAGGAAAATGTTTCATTAATAAATAAATAAGAAGAGAAGACCTATGAGAGAAACGTGGTCCAGACATATGCCTATAAACTCTAGCCATATAATAAAAGAGAAAATGATACTCAACACCCATGGATCCATTGAGTCCATGGATCATTCTGCTTCTGTCACCCTGGTTGAAATCCTGCCATTATCTCAGTGTCACCTGTTTGAAGATCACATGAATGTGGCAATAGGAATATATGGAAAAGGTACACTGAAGGAGCCTGATATAAATGAAAGAAGCTGGGAAGTCTGCATCATGGGCTGTTGTCTTCCATGCCTCATTGTCCTAGGGTGACGTTATGGTGTTTGTATCTCCAATCGTGTGTTCTGTTTACGTTTGATATTATGTTCTGTGCTTTCAGAACTGACTCTGAAAGTGAAGGTTTGTTTTGCCTTGTTATCATCTGGTTCACCTCCCCCCATGGTCTGCTGTCTAGAAAAGGCTAGGGCTGGCTGGCTGGCTTTGCTTGCTTGCTTGCTTGGCTTGCTTGCTTTGCTTGCTTTCTTGCTTTGCTTACTTCCTAGTTAGGTTAGCTAAGCAGTCCAATTCTTTCCCTGGACTGTTGCTTTTTCCTTTCCTCTTCCTGAATACCATCCAACCTGCTCTGGACTGGGATCTGGGAAACACCAAGGAACACCAGGAGCCTGCATTTTGTGATCTGCAGCAGCCATCCCCAGTGCTGGAGAGCAGTCCCCAGCGTCCAGACCCGGGCGACCACTCCCAGGAAAGACTTTCTGGATTTGTTCATCTCTTCAGAGGGGTGAAAGAGTTTTGTTGTCATCTGGTGTTGTTAATTGTTTTGGTGCTGGGGAGTGCTTTGTTCGTTGAATAAACAGGTTCTTTTCCACTTCTCTCTCAGAGGAAATTTTTCCCTGAACCAGGTGGGTGGGGAGGGGCCGTGGGGGTTTATTTCCTGGGGGCTCCTTTCAGAGGGTTTTCCCCAAATTTGCCCTAAACTAGGACACTCATGCATCTTGACTATGAACAAGTCTTTATAAATGCCTTGCCATAGGAGTGAAAACTTTGCTGGTGCAACTTGAAATTTCCTGTGGTCTATGGGGTTGCTTAATGACTGTAAATTTTCTTTATGTGACAATACCTATTTGAATATAATTTTTTTACTTTTTGAAAGACACTATTATTATGTTTATGTGTAGTAGCTGTTGAGAAGAAATCACTTGGCTCATTCAGACATTTGAACATTTTACTGATGTCATTGAAAAATTTATGTAGCTTTTCTTGTGGTGAACATGAATGTTTTCATTCCAGCTTTAGCAGTAAGAGGCAAAAAGTTCAGTATAAGAAAAAGCAGAAAAGGTAGTGTCATATTGACTGCAAAAAAGTCTCACAATGCAGTTTAGTACCCTGAATTTCATCTATTCAGCTTTGTAACATATTTATATAAAATCAATAACACTAATATAAACATGGTCATAATGTGTAGCCTACTGTCATTATTCAAATCGACTATTATAAACTTTATGATAGACACACTAAATTAGTACTTAGAAATTATCACTATATATTATGTGCATTTATGCTGTTTCATTCTTTATGACTAACAGAACAGGAAAGAAAGACTTACCATTCTTCTTATAGAACATGATTTCTCCTTTAAATTCTATCTTTTCCTCCAATGATTTCTCAATTTGAAGAATCATCTGCTCATTTGTTTCAGCACCAAGTAAGAATTTACAGCTGCAGCTCTTCTGCATGACTTCAGTCCGTGCAAATCCAGCAAGCTCACAGAAGCCATCAGAGCAGTAAACGATGGGGAATCCCTTAGCCACCTGAGCATTTGCAAGGATGAAGTTACTATCTGCAGAAGAACACAAAAGTAAAATATGAATTAAAGTACAAATTCTACACTGCTTGACACAGTACTTTCTTTAGCATCATAGACAGATGCAACCAGACAGATACTTAAAAGCAAAGTCCCAGATGCCTGCAAACCAGGATCTAACTTCTGATTTCAGACTAGTATTCTGAAATTAAGTCAAGGATCTAGTCCACAGATCATATTCAATAGTTCTTCATGGCTTTGCACAGTTTGCCTCATTGTCTTCTCAAGGAATACTTTTTGATAGTAGCCTCTGTGATGGATACCAACACACTAAAACAACCACTTGACCAAAGACTGGTGAAAAATATCTAAATTTTGGATAAATTTCTAATGTTATGCTGTCACTCAGACTACTCTGCAGTCTGAACAGACACAGCTACATCATAAAAACACAAAAATCTCCATGGTCTCAATAGGATAATGTTGACCTACGTCAGCAAACTAATTTATTCTATATAATTTTTCAAGCGAATCCTTAAAAACACAGTTGAGTGACACACCAGGCTACATGGAATTAGGAACATTCTCAACTACAAGGAATTATTTGTCCTTTATGGGAGGTGGGTTGATTTACGGTATTTTTGTTTGTTTTGTTTGTTTTGTTTATTGTTCATTTGTTTGGTTTTTTTTGTTTTCTTTGTTTTTCCTTATAGCTCATTTCCATCCCTCTCCGAAATGCTTTTGAAGGCTTTGTACCTCAGAACTTCATCTTCAACCCATCTCAACGGCTCTGACCCTTTAGAGTATTTTTCAGTTTTCAGGGGCACCCTTTCCAGATAACATATGAACTTCTCATACAGGTGTTTTGCCTGTGTTTCCTCGTCTTGAAGTGAAAAAAACCAAAACCAAAACAAAAACCCAACAACAACAAAACCCAGAACAAAACAAAAAACCAAAACCTTTTATGGGCAGAATCTGTCTACATTTCACATTGAGTGAGGAAAAACTATTTTTTGTCCATTGCTCGTTAAGGAATGTTTACCTTACAGCTTGCTAGCAGGAGCTTAGGAGAAGTGTAGTCCCAAGACAGACACCTCTCATCTTTCAGACTTATGTGCAAGTGAATTCATGTGCATGTATTAAGGGGAAATACTATTAACTAACCCACAATCCCTTCATAAATATTCATAAATTTAAAGAGAAAGAAATTAATTATTTTAATGGAAAACTCAGGTTGCTATACCTAATCCCCATACAGGGATATATTATCTATGATTGGGAAGGGAGAGACAGAATCCATACACCAAAACAGAGGAAAAAGAAGTTTGTTTTTCAATCTGAACTGTCACAGAGTTCTACATCTGTGAAATCCCAAAAAGCAGCTATGTTACTCTTTAATTACCCAAGGGACAAAATACTATGTCTTATACTGCTTTCAGTATTTAAAGACAATGAAGGTTTATTAAGTGATCAATTTTTCTATCAAGACTTTTCTTTAGTTACCCACATTTTGTACAAATTTAATTAAATTCTTTCAATAAATGATTGTTATGTTAAATCAGTCTTTTCCAACTTACCAAATAATGTGTTTCTAAAATGCATTCTGGTTCAGTGCAGTGCTTGACTTAGCCTGTCATTTTCATTTGCCTAACTGGGGAATAAGTATCATTACCATTCCTGCACTAACATGCTGCTCCCCCTGTCAACACAAAACTAAATCCCTACACTGCCAAAAGAATGAAAATCATATGCTTGCAGTGCATAATGAAAGTGTGACGGTGCAAGACCAGCAGATCATTCATACCAAATATATTTGTAGCTAGTAAATTAATTTACTTCTCTGATTCTTGTTGTTTACAATGCAATTATGTGATGCAAAGGCTGCTGTGGGATTTTGTTTTTCTTTATAATTCTAATTGTTGTGAGATATATGAAGCAGAATATGGAACACCAAAAGTACACAAAAGGTGGGGAGGATGTGCAGTTGTGAATGAATGTCATTATGAACAGGAACACACTGGAGCTTACCAAGCATACCGTGGTTTTATGAAAAATATAAGGTAGCTAAATTCTAATGTCAGTTACACCAAAATTAACCCAGAATAATTGTGGTTGCTTTAACAATCATGGAATAAACCAGTTTACTTATAAATGCCAATCCAGTACAAGCTAGAATAACAGCCAATCTTTCTCTTAATATCACCACGTGTCTGATAAGACTTGTAAGCCTAATTTTACTGAACTTTTTGAGTACAGCAGCAAAGAAACAGGAAAATACAATCAGAGTTATAGTTGCTGTTCTTCTTGAGCTTGAATTTCAAAGAAAATAGTGAGAGATGCCCCTATAATCCCAAACTAAAGGACATATCTAAATAATTTGTTGAAAATTTTTTTGTCATACTAAAAAGGACCAAGAAACATTATGCCCAGTAATTCCATGTATCATCTAATTATTCAGTAACATTTATAAAGTAATTAAAATTTACCTATTACATAAAGCAAATTTAAAAAAAAGCCCAAGAAACCCATACCTTAAAATATTCTCGTTAAAAGTTTGTTTAGTTCTGTAATTTTTGTCATGCCTTCAAATCTTAAATAACTTTTGCTATTACTCATATATGTAAAATGCTATAAAATATTGAAAAAAGTAAAATAAATTACATTTTCTTGAGAATAATTTATAGGAAACTTATGGACTGGAAGACAACACTTTTTTTTTATTTTTGAACCTGTAATAGGACAGTTGCAATGAATGATACAAACCTGTTGGTGTGTATATTTTGGTATACGTTTTTGTGTAGATTGCAACACTTCCATAATAATAGAGAAGTTGTTGAATTCCATATTATGCTTTCAGCACATTGGCTTGAATTTTAAGCTATTTTATTGATCAGGTTAGTTGATCAGCAGACAATATTAGATTACTGGTGAATGTTTCTTTTTAATTTTATTTTAAGATAAGAAAATATATCCAAGCAAAATATTTGACCTATTGAGAAAGATGTAACCCTGAGCCTTTAGAACAACAGAGTAGAGCTGCTGAAAATCTGTGTAAGAAAGAATGGATTTGAAGTATTGAGGAATAAATCTGGTGCAGGTAGCTCAGTTTGCCAACTGCACACTGACATGCAAATTGTGCTCTAGGTGGGAACTCGAAACAAGAGACCATGAGTTGCCAACCCTTTGTGTAGAGAAGGGTGGTGCCAACTGGGTGGATGGACTCTGGGAGACACAGCAGGAGCAGAAGACTCAGGAGAAAGAGAGACTTGTGTGAGAAGGGACTGAGAGGATATAAAATCCTTGGGTTTCCTTTGCTCAGGGTCCTCCCCAGAGGCACCAGCTGGGGTTGTTTCTGCGCTGCTGTGGCATGAATAAATGGCTTTATGGAAAGAGTCAGCTGAGCTCTGCTCTGGGAAAGCTGGGGTGGATCTGGGAGGGAAACCTGGTCTGACTGTGTGAATGTGGGGTGTGTGGGGAGTCAAGAAGGCACCTGTCAGGTCACTGGAGCCACCCACAGGGAAGGGGCCTCAGTGCCAGCAGTGAATTTCTCTGAGCTTGGAGTGAGACTGACAGAGAGTCCAGAGAATGGGCAGACTGGATGTTTTTTTAACCACTCGATTCTAGGTTTTCAGCTCAGAAAATAAGTATTTTAAGTCTCTGCAAAATAAATTTAAAAAATTCAAATTGGATATTTGTATAATAGCTTTGGATAAAAATTCTTGATTGTTTGTCCAAGCCTGGGAGAGCTGTGCGAAGGATGATTTAAAAGTGCTAAGATGGGAAAAGAAGCCTAAACACAAAATATCCAACAAGATTTCCTTTAGCAGCAAGTCAGCAGAAATTGAGGAATATGAGAGAGGTCCCTGGCTTGCCAGTGCTATTTAAAAGCAGATTTCTTTCAATTGCGATTATTTTACTTTAAGCTCATTTTCCGTGAAGATCAAGTTACTTTTCACATGAAAGTTTGAAGGAAGACTATTAGGAGCTTGCATGCCTGCCTCCATTTCAGAGATAGAACATACTGGAGAGGACAGGACATTGATCAATGGAAGACTCATGTGGTTTTCAGAAATCTCTGCCAGAAACACAGCATGAAGCCAGAGACAATAAAATAAGACAAATCAGAACCATGACAACTATACCTTCAATCACAGGCTTAGACAATGTTGCCCTGCTTCAATGATGTGATACCCAAAAATCATAACTGGAGCAACAGAGGTTTAGATCTCATGACATCTGATACAGAGAATCTTATTCAGCAAACATCCCATGACAGAGTTTCAGAAATTAGATAAAGAAAAATGCTTTATGCAATACTCTTCCTCCTAATTAATGCCCACAATTTATCTGATTGTTTATAATGACACTGTGATACATTTGTACTCTGCACTCCCTTCATGAATCCTACTGTCACATCCAGCTAAAAATGACAAAAGGATTTTTGCTTTAATAGTGTGGCTATGTCTGCTGTAAATCTCATCATTGTGCTTTCCCCAGTTCTTTTCAATCAAAGTCCAGAAGTTTTTGTGAAGAGAACACCTGACTTCTTTTGCAACTGAGAAAAGCCAACAACCATTCTAATTTTAAATGTTAAATTATTTAAGAATTAAAGAGGAAGAAAAAATCCTACAAAAGAAAAAATCTTTAGCAATTGAAGGAGCTGCATTAAATAAACAAGTGAGTCACGTAGTTACTCTACATATTGTAGAACAGTCCACAATTCTTCTAGATAAAAGGATGTACTACACTCAGATTTGATTCCACAGATTGTACACAGTCCACTTAACAAGGGAAATCTCATTCCAGGTTCATGTAAATTACTATGATGGAGAACACGACCACATTAACAGTTAAGACTACTGATTAATTGAATGATTAAAGTGCATGAAAACATTTAGCTTTATGTCAGCACATTTAGATGCAAGTGAATTTAATTAGAGCTCAAAATCATTTGCCAGCTATGTTCTTTGAATCTGATCAAGATCAAGATGATTTTTATAATGCATACACTTCCAGACATTAAAATTCCTTTTGAA